ATGGCTGCGAGGAAGGTCTGGCAGGCACATGCTCCTCTTCACAGGGTTCTTGGGCTTCGGGTGGCTTTCCTGGAGGGTATATTAACAGATTGGCAGTGAGGGGCAGGAATGGCCATCTAGGTAGGCAGTGGCTAGTTTTTTTTTGTCTGGGTCACTGAAGGGAGGAAAGGCCTCTTCCTGTGATTTCCTTGGCTGTGCACGTCTAGCCACCAGTGTTAGATGTTCTGGCCAGCTGGAGCAGTTTGAATTGGAACATGAAGGTGGGACCAGTTCACACTAGCAATTGAGTTCCTTTTCTCAGTCGTATCGGGTGGAATGTACCTGCTGCAGCCTGTGATTGTAGACTACATCTTGCTGGAAGCTCCCATCCCTCATGCCCAGGTGACTCCTCCCCTAGGGAAGCTTAGCAGAGAGCAGTCAGGAGGTCACAGGGTTAGCTCCAAACAGAAGTTTCCAGTGCTTGCTAAATTGAGGCCTTTTCCATTCAAAAGGAGCAGAGTCTAACCCTTTCCAGGAAAATCTTAAAGACATTTTTGTTTAGTTTTGTTTCTTGTAGAACTTTTCTTGAGGGGAGAAAAAAAATTTCCAATTGGAAGTCTTCCAAGACAGGGTTTCTCAGTAGCTATGGAACCAGTCCTGGAACTCACTCTGTAGACCAGGCTGGCCTTGAACTCACAGAGATTCTCCTGTCTTTGCCTCCCAACTGTTGGGATTAAAGGTGTGTGCCACTACCACCCAGCTCAATTGGAAGTCTTATGTCAACCAATAAATTGTGTTTCCCTGAGTCAGAATATTCATTAATATGCTGTGCTCAGTTGGAACCATCCTAATGTCTTTTACAAAATATAATAAATAGCAAAACAATAGCAGATGCCGATACAACGCCTACAGGCTGGTGCATGTGCATGTGTTCTTTCTTTTGGTCCCCATGATAATCTCAAGGGTACCATTGCCACCCCATTTTTCAGGTGAAGATTGGTGGCTCTCGGGGAGGCTATAACCACCAGTGCAGAGGCCATGCTGCCTCCATGAAACCCTTCACCCACTGATGACCCCCACAGTTTATGCCCAACTTTCCCTGAGGTGGTGGGCCCCAGCTGGATCCCTGGTATCTCAGCAGATTCGGGAAGGCTTTGTCCTCCACACAGTGCAGTGAATCGTTAGTCCTGCAGATCCGGTGGAAGTGCTCCCTCAAGGGTGGGCAGGGAGCACCATAGTGCTTTCGTTTCTTTTCCATGCATGAGACATGATTATTAGATTTAAGAAAAGAAGCTTCCCCTTGAGATGTCTGCCCCCAGACCCCAAACTAGTATAACCATTAGGGCAATGTCTGTGGGGCGGTGCCTTCTGGCTTCACTAGTTGGAAGAAACTTGTAGTTCTCACATCTTTGCCTTTTCCTTAGGGATTTCTCAAAGGCATAATCAAAGAAGAAAACCTTCTGTTCCTGTTATGGGCAGCCAGATTTGCATGACTTTGGAGGTCTGCCATTGGGGATGAGAAAAAGGTCTGTGTAGCTTGCTGTTGTCCAGTTTCATGATGGACAAGAGCCCCTCACAAGGAACCATCTGCTCCTTTGGCTTCCAGAGAAAGCAGAAGTCCCCACAGTTCTCCTGGCTGATGTATGGGTTCAGAGCGTAGTGAGAATTTTGCCGCATTCATTCGGAGTGAAGATGCTTTAACACATTCATTTTGGCCTCGTCACTGTTGGGCAGCTCTCACGGTTTCACTTGAAAGCTGACAAGGGTGAGAATGGAGACAAAATGGGACCAGGGAGATCGGCATCTTGGATCACCATGACTGAGAGGGGCTGGATCTGCAACAGCTTCTTCCCATAAGATCTAGACTTTATAAAGGTGCCACATGCTATAGGACCCCTCCCTTGCCAATAGGAACTTTCGCCCTGTAGGTCCCCTTCACGACCATCTGAGACATGTGCTTAATGACAGGCTTTCCTACTAATTTTCCTGGAGAGTATGATTGTTTGAAAGCTACTCGTGAGGCACGTGCGTCCTTTTGTTGTCTGGGTAAGAACTGGGTCAGCTGCAGAGCGGCTGTCTGGCCAAGTGTTTATGGCTGGCTGTTCTGGTCCTGTTCCCAAGAGGATCCACAGTAGGTTCCACACAGTAAAGGGAAGATTTGCATAAAAACCTGGAAAGGCTTCAAGGAGAATAATTTTCTCCATAATTTCATCCATCCACGCATGCATGTATCCAGTCTATCCATCCATCCATCCATCCATCCATCCATCCATCCATCCATCCATCTATCCACCTATCCATCCACTCATTCACCACCCACTGTCCATCTCTGCATCCACTAATGTATCCACCTGGCATTTAGAGGAGTTCTCTCATATTTTTAGTATAAAGGAACTCATGTTTATTTTCCCAAGATCTAGACATGTTGTAGAAAAACTTTAGGTTTTACTGTATAACTAAAACAGGGATGTACAGCTGGTCTCTTCCTGTTTTTATTGGGAACCAGCGAATTGTAGAAATGGGACAGAACAGGTGGCAGCTGAGTTGGGCATCTCTAGATGTACTTCAGGATGGTCAGGTCAGGGTTTTTTGGTCTCTGAACCCAACTTAATTCAGATAAATGGTTGTAGTTTGGCCTATACTTGTCCTTCTGCTACCTCAGCATCCTGGGAAACTAAGCCTTGCCTGTATCCCAAAATCTGCAGCTTTTTGAGCATCCCTGTATCCCCATGCCTGTGGAGTGTAGCTGGGTCATCTTTGGGGCTGGACTAACGCATCCCTTCTAAGAACACATTTTGAACTTAAGATATTCTGGTTATTATTAATAGCATTATTGACTTTACAGCTGTCTCTAAAAGATACCATCAATATATATTTCCTTTTTGCTTGATTGTCTTGGTCCTCCCACTCCTGCCACTGGCGTAGCTGAGTTACAAGAGTCCCAACATCTTCTGAGGATAGCTGCCTTCCCCCAGTGTCTTCCCTATTGCCTGCTGAATTGCTAAGAGCATCCATCATCAGTACTGCTGCTGAAAGACCAGAGACTTACAGGATGGATCATTGGAATTTCACTCCAGTCTAGTTCTTTTGACACCCAGTTGTCACTGTAGACAAGGCTGGAACTTGAGCTTGCCTCCTAAAAGCTTTGTTCAAACTTCTATTTTTATACTTTAGAAGCAATAAATAAGATTTTTAAAGTTGTATTTTTTTAATTGCCAATATATCCTCTGACAAAATTCAGATTAAACAAAAATCTTTCCAGGACAGAGGAGTCTACCAAAGACATGAGGTGGCAGTTGCAGAGGTAGCTCTGCACATGGCTGCTGATGAACCCCGTCACTCACCCACCATTCCTGAGGCATTTCTCCATCTGTCTGCTGTCTGTAGTCAGGCTTACTTGATCTGTTCTCTAAACATGGCAGGATGGCTTGGAACCTTCAATGGAGGTTGCTGCTGGCTGAGAATACCTGTTTGGCTTCTCCACTATGCAGATACCCATAATACTCACCTGTGCAACTCATTCTGACTAGTTCTCATTTTTGCCATCTTCTTTTAAGAGTTGGGATTGCAGTCACTATCACCCCTATTATTTTTTAACTCTTTTCCCCAATAGTCTTTTAAAAACACATTTATTAAAAATAGATTCTTAAAGTAATTACCAGAACAATTACCCCACTGCTTTCTAGTCAAACCTTTTCAGTTACCTGATACAATCCCAAACATATTCACTGTTCAGTGATGGCTTTACAGTCTATTTCTGGAGTGGTTAAAATTTCCTTAAGGGGTTCATCCTGGCATTCACATTCATGGAAAGTTTATAGAATTTTGAAAGATTCTCATGAAGTGTTGATGAGGTGAAAGCATTTTAAATATGGACCACTGATCAAAAACTTGGTTTGTTTCTTAGGTTGCATCTGATGCCAGAAGGCAAGCATAATCTGCATTTACGTTTTGCAAATGAATTCAACAAGTTGGCAGAAGACTTTCTACAGTGAAATTACAGGAAATCTTTGTTTTCTGGGTGATTCTGTATTGAAGGATCATATACTTGTCTGTTACTAGGATGCTCCAACATGCCTTCCTTGCTTCTCTTCTCAGTTCATAGACTACCAGGCTTCCTACACTCACCATCATATAACTGAGTGCAAGCAGGAAAAATAGCATATCCGAATCAGGTTGTAGCTTTAATGGCTACAAAAAAATGAATATTGGTGTTTGAAATGTGAGATTATGAGTTTCTATCATTGTCTTAAAAGTAAATTCTTACCATAATTTATTTTCAAATAAATTTTATGTGAAACATTTATAGTGTTTGCATTTACTTTTTGGACATTTTGAATTTACAACATATTTTTATAGCCTAACAGTCAAAAGCTGGGTTTGTCTCAGTCCTTGATTCTATAAGTTCATAGGAGATCTGGAATGGTAACAATTAAAACACTAAGCAGAAGTCCCAAAGTGCTATCCCCCTGATGCTTTGTATTAAAAAAAAAAGGTACCATAGGTTTTATACACATGCTTTTTATTAGTATAGATAATCTTAGACAATACTGCAATCTTGAAAGGAGGTCCATACTATTACATCAACAGTGAATTTCTGACAGAGGCAAACTGAGCACCATAATTTACAAATAGAAAGACCATGCTGGAGGACAACAGAAGTTCACTAAGGGTGCACATTGTGTCTGAGAAGTTCTTAAGCCTCATCTTCGCCCTCCTCCTCCTCGAACTCGCCCTGCTCATCTGCAGTGGCATCCTGGTACTGCTGGTATTCAGACACCAGGTCGTTCATGTTGCTCTCTGCCTCGGTGAACTCCATCTCGTCCATGCCTTCGCCCGTGTACCAGTGCAGGAAGGCCTTGCGCCGGAACATGGCAGTGAACTGCTCCGAGATGCGCTTGAACAGCTCCTGGATGGCCGTGCTGTTGCCAATGAAGGTGGCAGACATCTTGAGGCCCCGGGGAGGGATGTCACACACGGCCGTCTTGACGTTGTTGGGGATCCACTCCACGAAGTAGCTGCTGTTCTTGTTCTGCACATTGAGCATCTGCTCATCCACCTCCTTCATGGACATGCGGCCCCGGAAGATGGCAGCCACGGTCAGGTAGCGGCCATGGCGCGGGTCACAGGCGGCCATCATATTCTTGGAGTCGAACATCTGCTGAGTGAGCTCAGGCACTGTCAGGGCCCGGTACTGCTGGCTGCCCCTGCTGGTCAGAGGTGCGAAACCTGGCATGAAGAAGTGCAGGCGTGGGAAGGGCACCATGTTCACAGCCAGCTTGCGCAGATCTGCATTCAGCTGGCCTGGGAAGCGCAGGCAGGTGGTCACCCCGCTCATGGTGGCTGACACCAGGTGGTTGAGGTCGCCATATGTGGGTGTGGTCAGCTTGAGGGTGCGGAAGCAGATGTCGTACAGGGCCTCGTTGTCAATGGAATAGGTTTCATCTGTGTTCTCCACCAGCTGGTGCACGGAGAGGGTGGCATTGTAGGGCTCCACCACTGTGTCAGAGACCTTGGGTGAGGGCATGACGCTGAAGGTGTTCATGATGCGGTCTGGGTACTCCTCTCGGATCTTGCTGATGAGCAGGGTCCCCATGCCTGAGCCTGTGCCTCCCCCAAGTGAGTGGGTCAGCTGGAAGCCCTGGAGACAGTCACAGCTTTCAGACTCCTTCCTCACTACATCCAGGACGGAGTCCACCAGCTCAGCACCCTCTGTGTAGTGGCCCTTTGCCCAGTTATTTCCTGCACCACTCTGGCCTGCAAGAAGGAAAGAGAATATTAGACACTTAGGATCTCAGGGTGGTATCACTGGACTATGAAGGAAAAGGGAAAGCTGGCCTTTAAAAAAAACATTCAATAGTCTTTTAGATACACTGTTTTATGGGAAGGAAATATTGTCAATGTATCAATGACCTCAAAAACCCTAGGGATCATAATAAAGTAAGAATCAAGTTGACGAAGACACATTTTAACAATACTGAGTAGCTTCTGAAATTAAACACAGGAAACATTCTGTAGATACTCTTAATTAGGTATAATTAAAGAGGCAGGGCAAGGCAGCTCTATGCACCTGATCTACAGCTTGGTCACTGGAGTGGTTACCTGGCATCATTGGTCCTTTGAAATCACCTGCAGCCTGTAATGCCCTCTTTGAAGACTTTCATCCTCTCTACCCCTCCCCCCAGGCTGCTCCTCATGAGGCCTTTAACAGCCTCTACAGGTCCACACTCCTCTGAGCTTTCAAGGGTGACCACAGACATGATCTTGTCAGCTGCATAGGTTAGGCCATGACTTGTAGTCTGTGGACACAGGCTCAGCTGGGCACTGCACACGGAACTGTAAAGCCCATGGCTGCTAGGAAGGGGTGAGTCATTTGGCCAGCTCTCGTGGAGCATGACGACATACCGAACACAAAGTTGTCTGGTCTGAAGATCTGGCCGAAGGGTCCTGACCTCACTGAGTCCATGGTGCCCGGCTCCAGGTCCACCAGGATGGCCCGGGGTACATATTTGTTGCCTGTGGGGACAAGAGCTGATTACAACTGGGCTTGGCAAGGAGATACACGTAGCAGCAGAATTCATTACAGAAATCCCAGCACTGAGACAAAGGAAGAAAAGAAAATGGAGACAGGAAGCATGCTTAATCACAGCAGACATGAAGACGTCTTTGGGAGCTGCAAAGTGCTTTTATTTATTTATTGCAGTTGGCATTTTAAATATGTATGCAAAAAGCATTTCCTTGTTGTTTGCATGGTCCTAAGTCACTTCCTCTGCCACAGTATGGAAAGCAAGGCTGACATTCAAACCCTTACCAGCAGCTTCATTGTAGTACACATTGATTCTCTCCAGCTGCAAGTCACTGTCACCATGGTAACTGCCGGTGGGGTCGATGCCATGCTCATCGCTTATCACCTCCCAAAACTGAAATGAAGAGAATCACATCATGTTTAAGATTCTCACAGTCACCCAAAAAGACCTTGGTCAGACAGCACAGGCGAGAGCCTAGTGAGCTGCTGGCTCCAGTGTGTGTGGGCAGCAGCTGCTTTAGAGGGTCTTGGAAATGCACAGTGCATCGGCCATATTATGACCACAGATGCAGGGCTGGGAGGAGTCAGAAGAAGAAAGTGGGCACAGCAGATCCCTTGCCAGAACTGCGGAGGCAGCCGTTCTCTCACTGCAGACCGGGCTGAATGTTACTACATACAGGCTAATGGATGGGAAAGGGCAGAAGGGAAGATCAGGTGCCCCGCCCCCCGCGCCTCTGGCGCCTCCTGGGATCAATGACTCCTGGCACAGACTCCATGGCAGCTTTCAACAGCCCAGTTCTATACCACTGACCTACATATTGGCTTTCGGGTACTGACCCCGGGCTAGGAATGTTCGGGGTGGGCGGCACAATCCCAAGAGGGTGCGTGGCAGCCCTCGAAAAAGCTGGCCATCCTGAGGATGCAGCCTCCATTGTGACTTGGCAGCAGGAAAGGGGGTGGGGAGGTTGGGTGGGCAATATGGCGGTGTTGAAAGAGACCACGTCCTTGCACAGCCGCCCGCCCACACCCATGTTGAATGCCCACTGCTGCCTCCCGGCTGCAGCCCGGTCTCACAGCTCCAATTCCATGCAGTCACCTGCTGTCTTACAGACGAGAAAGACGACCGCTGCATTTTATGTCAAGACTAGAGGAGCACTTGTTAGGGCATTTGTCTTAACAACCTCATCTGTTTGCCCAAAGAGACGCCTCCGTAACATCTGTCAACCCAATGACACTGCAGTTTTTCATTCATATGACAGACAAAAAAAAAATTATACAAATTACATTTGACATGAGGTTCTCAACCCATATGACAGTGACCCCCGACCCAAATTTCAGAAACGAAAAGAGCCAGAGGAATGTCAGTTGCACCCCGCAGAAGGGTTGTGTGCCAAAGCAATGTAATGGACCATGATTTAAGACACGCTGTCACGCGCGTGGTGGCAGGTTGAACGGCTTTCAGGACCAGACCCACCCAGTAGCCAGCGGTGGAATGCGTCACTAGTCCGGACTCATCTGGATCCCCCTAGGCTCGGCCCGACCCCTGCTCACAACCTTGGGACCCCGACTCAAGCGGGCGACCCCACCCACTCCCTCCGCAAGGGCGCGCCCACCTTAGCGCCGATCTGGTTGCCGCACTGGCCTGCCTGGATGTGCACGATCTCACGCATG